GTGCGTGCGTGCGTGCGTGCGTGCGTGCGTGCGTGCGTGCGTGCGTGTGTGTGTGGTGTGTGTGTGTTTGTGCATATTAGTAGGTATAAATCAGCCACAATATAGAACATGAGATCGACGTAGCGAGGAGTAGGTACTGTAAGTATCTGGAGTGGAAGGACACAAGTATTATTATCATTGGGTTTGAATTGATAGCAGATCTTCAGTAGACTGATAGTCGATACTGAGCAACCAATTTGTGATTTTATTCTTACATTCATTTTTAGGCAATGAGTAAAACGCAAGTACATTATTCACTTTATTATATAGGCAGCTTCCGAGAAAAGGTAAGAACTTTCCAGCGAATTTAGTTCGAAAAATTTCTTTGGGGCACACTGTGTGTTTCCTTCTTTTGGTACGATAATTAGGATTAAAAGATAATTGGGAGTGCTTAAACAAGATGACATGCAGGACGAACAATTTACGGACCGGTAATACTTTACAGAGGTTATACACCTCACTTGTTGGATATAAACGTGAAAAGAAGTAACTCACTTTCAGTTCAGCCTTTGAGCTCTTTCAAGTGGTAGTAAAGTTGATGTGGGCGCTCTACTCCAAATTACAATATAATATGTCAATATTGACTGGCAGAGTGCTAGATATACCAGTGTAACAATGTCAGGATCGCTCAAAAGTCGTAGGTTTTTAAATATATATGTTAGCTTGCGGACTTTGTTTGTTAGAGCCTCAATATGTTGGTGAAAACTAAGTGTGTCATCAATGATTATACCCAGATACTTGATCGATGAGGTTCTTGTGAGAGCAGGACAAGTACAAGGAAGTGGTGATTGATTGCAAGAATGGGAAATGATGCTAGCTTGCTCATGTTCTAGTAAAGAATATATTTTATTATTTTTATTTTTTTGGTCATAAATATAAGGAATTTTGTTTCGTTGGCATTCAATATAAGTTTGTTATTCCTTAACCAGGTAGATACTTTATCAAAGCACTTTTGTGTCTCACTATACACCTCTTTCCAGGAGTCTCCCTTGAAAACGAGAACAGTATCTTCTGCAAAGGATATAATCGTGCGTTCACCCAAATCCAGTTCACAGAGGTCATTTATGTAAGTTAGGAAGAGGGCAGGCCCCATGATACTCCCCTGCGGAACTCCATGATGAATGGGAAGATCGTTACTTGTACACTGTTCAATCCTAACTCGCTGATATCTGTTGCTCAAGTAGCTTCTAAACAATTCCAGCTGTAATCCCCTAACTCCTAACAGTTCTAGCTTTTGTAGCAAGAGTGGAACAGAGACCGTGTCAAATGCCTTTGCCAGATCTAGGAAGATCACGATCACCTTTTTTTGGTATTGAGATTAGTAACAATGTGATTTGTTAATTCGTGAATTGCTAGGTTAGTTGAGTATCCAGATCTAAACCCATGTTGGAATTGTGATAGCAAGTTGTTGTTCTTAAATAGTTTGTAAGTTGCTTGTTAGTAACTTTTTCTAGAATTTTCGAGACAATAGGCAGAATAGAAATGGGTCTATAGTTATTTACACAGTATCTGTCACCACTTTCATGTATTGCAATTGCTCTATATTATAAGACCTATAGAAAAAGTACAATAAAATATTCTCTCACCATATCTTGCAGGGGACACATTAAAGCTTTCACCGCTGTTGTTGAACTGCCAAAGGAAGGTGACGTCACCAGGATCAGCGTGGACAGCGCACCGGACGTTAAGTTCCTCGTCTATCGCAGCGCCTACCACTTGAGGCGATGGGTCTACGCATACTGGAGCGTCTATGGAATAAATCGTAGCTTGATAAAAAAATTAGGTTGTTTTTTAGATAACATACATAAAATTGGAGAAAGAAACTATTCTTTACCTACTAAGGTAAATCATTGGTTGAGAAATGCTCTACAATTCAGAATAACTGTTGTTTGGAACCTGGGCCCTCCTCATCCAGCGCATAGCATGAACCGTTGGGCCATCAAGGTCGTCAATATTGTTGTTGTAGTTTCATTAAACTATGTTCTGGTAGAGCTGTCCCATCGAGGATGTTTGCAGAAGCACGTGGTAGACTGGTTTTATGCGAGCGTGCCAGCCTCAACCCCATCCTGTCCTCGTTAATGGACAGACTCGACTATCGACACAAGAGGTAAGGCTTTGTTTCTATCAGTGGTTATTTTGAACCTACTGACATTAGTAATAAGTGTGTTTTACTAATAAACAATATGAGGGAGAGTTAGTTACTTGAAATAAAGCAATAAACATTCCGTACAACTTTACGAGCATAAAATTTTAGAGCTTTTCTGTAGAGCTCCTCGTGAAAGAGTTCGTCTAGGAAGTATTGCCACCTTACCTATTTATGCCGCCGAACAGTAGTGTGAGCATTATTTGAGCGTTCCGGTTTTGAAGGATAAGGGTGCTGGTGAAATTACAGGCACAAGGGACTTGTCAACTTACGTTTTAAGGTGATAGGCGCAGTGACAGTGCCCCTCAGATCTTTGAGATTTAATGCTCTGAGTGGCACTGTAACATCAAAAACACAATTTTGAGAAAATGCTGCAAAAATGATTTTTTTAGTTTTTTGTGACATTTGAGGTTAAGAACATAAAAATACACATTTAACTTGCCTTGCACATTAGATATCAAAGAAGTCTATCCGACCATTACAAGTTTACTTTGCCTAATGAGCTTTTTCTATAGAAAAACCAATAAGTTTCTATTCCCTTAATAACACCCGAAAAAATCTTGGTGTGATAAAATTATAAATACCGTACTGGAACTTGTTTTGATTTAACGCGATATAATACGCGAATACCTCTACGGTATTGTATACTTTTTAGTAACTTTGAAAATGACTTTTTTTATATTTCATACAATTTAGTAGTGTTAGAGAATGAGATAATGAGTACATTAATTAATTAGCGCACCTCGCAAATTCATTAGCGTGTGTGAAAAATTATGCAGAGGCCCATGGCCTTCGGTACAACGCGACTAAGTTCCTAGTGTTTAGTCCCCGATGTTACACTGTCCTATTTATCCTTAAAATGAACCACTAAATTTAAATATTAATGTGTCCTTGAGTCCTTAAAAGATGATTTTCAGGTGTAGTCTGTCTTTTATGAAGACAGAGTAAAATAACATATTTTGCAAGTTTGCCAGTTTTTATAAAATTTTAAATGGTCATGTAGTTGTTGTCGAGTTTTATCGATAGATTGTCAATGAAGGTAAAATTTTGCTATAATGCTTCAATGGTGAATGTTACGATGTTCTAATTATTACTAATTGTATTATTGCCTTCTTTATTCTTATTTTGACAGTTGGCCTACTAGTATCAAAATCAATTTTTGTTAAGAACAGGCAGATTTGAGTATCTATATTGAATTAAAATAAAAAAATCTTTAGAATATGTCTCCTCTTTGTATTTTTAATAAAATAGTTCTAAATGCAGTGTATGTATGTATGAATTTAGAAAAATTGACAATTCGATCGAACCTGTGTTCAGCGACGGTTATTTATTGCCTAAGCGTAAACAAAATTTAGTAGATAGTCGATAGAATATTTAGCGACTGCAACCACCAAGCAAGCAGGCAACACTTTTGCGCATTGAAAAAAAAAAAAAAAAAAAAATTTGAATGTTCATTTTACTCCATCTTCAAAAAATACTATAGATTTGCTCAGGTCGCTTCGCTGGCGAAGGTCATGTCGATACGCAGGTTTGCGAGTTGTACTGACGTCTTTAAAATTAGGTTATTCAAAGCGTACTGTCAGTCGTTCAACTTGTGTAACTTATGAGATAATTGCACCCAAAAAGCTCTTAGTGCCCTACAACTTCTGTATAATATAGTCAGGATGCTGTTACAGCTCACACGCTTCTGCAATGTGTCTAGAGTGTTTGCCAGCAATCATGTTGATGGTTTTGCAGCTATTATGCGGAAAAGATGTGCTGAATTACTGGCAGTGATAATAGAATTCCTAGTACCATTGTATTCAGAGTGCAGCGTTCCGTTTATGAGCACAGAATCCGAATGTATATTATTTATTGACTATAAAAAAAATAATTTATAATAGGTACTAATCCTATTTTTATGTGTTCTGGGGTTCCTACTCTCGAAGCACGAAATCCGTAGTTACCATTTTTCCACTATAGATGATATCTAGATTTGAGTTTCGATCGGGGCAAGAAGTGAGAGTGTACTATAACGCGATTTAATAGTTTCTAACGGGCCCGTCTTTTTGTTGACTTGGACTTCGAGAGTAGGTCCAATAGGTCACCATGGGTTTCGTGCTTTGAGAGTACGGCCCCTGTTACTAACTCTTATGGATGAATCACCGAAATAAACATTTATGCTTGAACCCAACCGTTGAAATTTTGATCGGCGAATACTAACTTAGTTTGTATGTTTAATTTGCAAAAGTTTTATCAAAATGAACTAGTTTCAAACATAATGCAAGTAAAGTAAAAAGTAAGTAAGTAATGGTTTTGAAAATAACCAAATATAAATATTATAGCCTAACATCGTGCCTGAGTTCATAAAATTATACAGCCTAGGCGTCCTACATTCCGTAATTTATTAGCACTCTATTGAAATTAAGTTGTAATTATTACAAAAACATTAATGTTCTTAATATAGTCACGTATCACGTGTTCTAAAGGTGCACTTGACTATGTATGGTTGGCAATCGTAAAAAGGTAACTGCTATAAAGGCATACATTTAAAAATCCACGCGCCCTGTTTTCCTGTTGTAAAGCTGTGAATATAAATCAACCGGCAATTATGGCATTTCGAATTATTTCGTTCGGAACGCCATAATTGCCAGTTGATTCCTCCCGTGTCGGTGTTCCGATATGAATGCGTTTGGTAAAAAAATGTTGGTTATGTTCGTGTAATGACTTGCCCTAGAATATTAAATTACGTAATATTCAGTATGACTTTTTAAACTACGAAGTTGACTTCGGCTAAGCAAAGGTGGCGAGCGAACGAACTTTGCCTAAGTTTAAGCAAGAAAATACATTCAACTTTAAGTTTGCTTTATAATATGATGCTCAAACTTAGGCTAAGTTCATTTTGTGAATACGAAAAACTTGCTTAGATCGCCATTTTTGCTTTGCCTATGTAAATAGGATTTTGTTACAATACTATAAGTGACAGGACGAAAAAGTCTTGTGGGCCTGGTGGTAAGTGACACACCTGTCCATAGCAGTTGCAGTGCCGCTCAGAGTTTTAAAATGCAAAAGATCTGAGGGGCACTGTCACTGCGCCCGCCACCCTATTGACAAATCTAATGAGCCTGTAATTTCACCAGCACCCTTATACCCTTCAAAATCAGAACACAGTAACCCTCACATTATTACTTGGCGGCAGGAAAAAATAAGATGGAAGTACTTCCCTAGACGAACTCTTTCACAAGGAGCTCTACTGGTACTTAAAAAAATACGGGACATACTTGTATCTAGCCGATATTATTGTAGTTTTATACTACTGAGTGTATTAAGGGCTTTGACAAGTTGACAGGTAAAATGTTCAGTCAACAGTGACATGGTTTTACACTAAAGATTTAAAAGCAACTCCCTTGTGTTAAGAACACATTTTTATCCTATTTCCTTTATAAAGTAATCCTGTAATTAACATTCCAGGTTTTAATTTCCACTTTCTGACTCGGCTATAGTTCTAACCAGTTATTACTACAGAGATGGAGGTGGCATAAAAACGAATCGACGTCGGGTTTTAAAGGCGGCAGACTTGGAACTGAAAAGAGGTCATCAAATACGTTTCTTTTCATTCCGACTTTTTTTACGTCGTTTTAGTGCCTAATGGTGAGCGGGTTGGTTTTCTTAGATTCGGAACACACAATATTATTGAAAAGACCGCAAATTGTACCCTTTGTAAATATAATCTTAATTCCATGATGATTCTATGATTTATTCTCAGTAATAAGTATAAATATTATATATAAATAAAAGTGTATTTTTCCTTCTCAACAAGACTTTGTATAATATTATTAAGGGCTACGGCAGAAGACAATAATATTATTTTGTATTGCATGTCAAATAAACTATTTTATTTTATTATCATATTTTTTTATAATATATAGTTATTTATCATATATTAAATTATCATTATTCCATCGTGTTTGTAAAGTTTGGAACCTAAATTATCCTGTACTATACGGAGAAAATATTCCGCTACGACGACTGTGACAAAAACAATATAGAAAAATTTAGTTTTATTACAAAGTCAACGTTAAATAATCTACATATATTTCAGAGGTAAGAAAATATTACGCTTGAAAATATTACGCTTGTTGTCAAATTGATTAAACTCTACTGCGCATTCGTTAAGCAAATTCCCCTGAGAAGAATGAGCAAGAAACTTTAGTTGTTGCTCTTTGTAAATAAACATTTGCAGGTACATACTGAAACGAGGCAGCTTGATGTTGAGGTTCTGCAGTGCCGCAGCAATCTCCTACTCCATAAACTCATTAAATAAATAAAAAACAGTCATTCCTCATAAGAGCGTAGCTCTTTAGCTTTGTGGATCCGATAGGAAAGATGCCACATGAATTTTTCGAGTTCAGAATTCGCTCAATACGTTTTATGTGTACTTCATATGTTTACGTTTTAAGGCGATGAGGTGCCCAAAATCGCTTAAATATGGTGTTTTTATGCAAGTTATTATACAGTTTTTATACAGTGAGACTCTGGTGGTTATTTTTTGACATATTTTTCTCGGGCAAATCAAACTTGCTTACTACCAAATTTGGTGTGATTATTTAAATGGTACTTATCTTG